CACTGTGGCGTGATACAGACAATGCCCACGTTGTGAAAATACCACGGTGGCGTGATACAGACAATGCTGACGTGAAAATACCACTGTGGTGTGATACAGACAATGCTGACGTTGTGAAAATACCACTGTGGCGTGATACAGACAATGCCCACGTTGTGAAAATACCACGGTGGCGTGATACAGACAATGCTGACGTGAAAATACCACTGTGGTGTGATACAGACAATGCTGAAGTGAAAATACCACGGTGGTGTGATACAGACAGTGTTGTGGACATAGTGAAACAACCACTGTGATGTGATACAGGCAATGCTGACGTTGTGAAAATACCACGGTGGCGTGATACAGACAGTGTTGTGGACGTTGTGAAAATACCACTGTGATGTGATACAGACAATGCTGACGTTGTGAATATACCACGGTGGCGTGATACAGACAGTGTTGTGGACGTTGTGAAACTACCACTGTGATGTGATACAGACAATGCTGACGTTGTGAAAATACCACTGTGGCGTGATACAGACAGTGTTGTGGACGTTGTGAAAATACCACTATGGTGTGATACAGACAACGCTGACGTTGTGAAAATACCAGTGTGGCGTGATACAGACAATGCTGACGTGAAAATACCACTGTGGTGTGATACAGACAATGCTGACGTGAAAATACCACTGTGGTGTGATACAGACAATGCTGACGTTGTGAAAATACCACTGTGGCTTGATACGGACAATGCCCACGTTGTGAAAATACCACTGTGATGTGATACAGACAATGCTGACGTTGTGAAAATACCACTGTGGCGTGATACAGACAGTGTTGTGGACGTTGTGAAAATACCACTGTGGTGTGATACAGATAATGCTGACGTTGTGAAAATACCACTGTGGCGTGATACAGACAATGCTGACGTTGTGAAAATACCACGGTGGTGTGATACAGACAATGCTGACGTTGTGAAAATACCACTGTGGCGTGCAGGTGATACAGACAATGCTGACGTGAAAATACCATTGTGGTGTGATACAGACAGTGTTGTGGACGTAGTGAAACTACCACGGTGATGTGATACAGACAATGCTGACGTGAAAATACCATTGTGGTGTGATACAGACAGTGTTGTGGACGTAGTGAAAATACCACTGTGGTGTGATACAGACAATGCTGACGTTGTGAAAATACCACTGTGGCGTGATACAGACAATGCTGACGTTGTGAAAATACCACGGTGGCTTGATACAGACAGTGTTGTGGACGTAGTGAAAATACCACTGTGATGTGATACAGACAACGCTGACGTTGTGAAAATACCACGGTGGCGTGATACAGACAATGCTGACGTTGTGAAAATAACACTGTGGCGTGATACAGACAGTGTTGTGGACGTTGTGAAAATACCACTGTGGTGTGATATAGACAATCGAGTCAACGTGATGTTGCAAGACAATTTGACGTCCACAGAAACAACATTTGGTGTTTATGGCAACGTTGGCAACAGACGAATGCAGTCAGAGGCCATCCTCGGAGTGACAGGCCACGCGTAACCAATAATCGACAAGACAACTGGATTCCAACAACACACCTACGAAATCGATTCCAGCCAGCATCAGTGACTGCAAGAAGCATACCTGGCCTTCGACAAATATCTTCACAAACGTACGTCGCCGCCTCAGATGTGTAGGGATTGTCGCCAGACGTCCCATTTTGACAGGAAACCACCGTCAAGCACGTCTACAGTGGTGCAGACAACGTCTACGCTGGACGGCCATGCAGTGGAGACAAGTTCTATTCACTGACGAGTCTCGTTTTCGCCTCAGCCACAGCGATGGACGGATTCGAGTGTACCGACGTCGAGGTGAACGTTACGTCAATCATTGTGTCATGAATGAAGATCGGTTCGGGGCGGCAGTGGGATTACAGCAAGACAGAGGACCCGTTTGATAGAGGTAGAGGGAAATCTCAATGGACAGCGCTACCGCGACGAGATCATTGGCCCTGTTGTTCTACCGTCTTTGCGTCGTCATGGCCCAGGCATTACCTTTCAACATGACAACGCCCAGCCTCATATTTCTCGACTTGTTCAGGACTCTCTTCAACAAAAGAACGTTAATGTCATCCCCTGATCTCTCGTGACTGGAACATGAATCTGTTATATAGCAATCCAAATACATACACAGAACACACAATAACTTCTTTTTTTCTTTGTTTTTTTAACCCCGCACTCGATCTATATGACGGCGGTCTGTAAATAATCGAATTTGGACCAGACAATCCAGTGATTGACATCATGAGCATCGATCCACGCAATTGGGATCGATGACATGCTTCAACCAAGTCAGCGAGCCTGACCACCCGATCCCGTTAGTCGCCTCTTACGACAAGCATAGTCACCTTTTACGGCAAGCATTGGTTGCTGAAGACCTATTCTACCCAGAATCATCCAAGGAATACCCTGATACGAAAACAGGTGGAATAGGTATACAAGTTCGATTGTAGAAAAGTCCTATACCTCACCACATACATGTCACACTTCCATAATGCATAAAGCTTTGGGTGATAATCGATTTAAAAAAATAAACAATCAATACATCTTATCATTTCCCCGCGGATTTCATCATTTGTGTTTGCTAGATCAAGCGTCCAACATCTCGAGTAATTAAGCGTAGTGTTACAGGTACAGAAAAACATTCATCGCCAAGTGCGTCAGGTTAAAGTAATTAAAACCGGTTTGGTGTTGATGGCTTATCATTGATATTTGTTGCAATATCGATTCTTTTATCATGCTTTATACATGATGCATGTGGGCCAAGTGGTGAACGCGTTGGCTCGTTACACCAAAGGGTCGGGTTTGATTTCCCTCATGGATGGAATATGTCTCGTGTCCCCTGCCGAGATATTGCTGAAATATTTCTAAAAGCGTTAATAAAAGCGACAAAATCCTTTCTATGATCATAGAAACTAATAGACTAATAGAAACTTAGACTAATACAATAATAGTCTCCGAAATATAGTTGTGCATAATGTTAAATTAAAAATGTCTATAAAGTAACCCTCGAGTGTTATAGTATCATTGAATCTCTGAGATTGGGTGAGTGAGTGAGTTGGGTTTAACGCCTTCTTAACATTATTCCAGTTATGTCACAGCATGTCAGCTTAATGTGGGAGGAAAGCCCGAAGTGATGCAGGTCTTAGACGTTTACCACTTCGGTGAAACCCACGAGCACGGGTATGGTGCTGACAAACCCAAAAACATAATCGGAGCGAACCGGGATTCGAACCCACAATCATAGGTTTCTGGCGTACCCAAGGGACGCAACTCTGCACAGCGAATCGCGGCGCCTTAGACGACTGGGCCACCCATGTCCCCCTCTGAGATTGGTAAAGAGAATAGAATGAGTGTTGGTAAATGTTGCGTTATATATATGTAAGAGGGTCTGTACGAGCGACTAGACCATATCATAAGCACATGATTATGAATCAATAAATGATGGTACCAGGTGTTCCCCATCCGTGGCACCCGTCACAAACGCATGTAACGGCAAGTCAAGTTTTCACCTGAACACAATCCGTCACGAGATAGACCAGTGAAGATCTGGGTTAGAACAGGTCTTCAGCATCCCATGCCTGTTGTAAGAGGCGGCTATGTTTTTCGTGAAAGGCGACTAACGGGACTCTCTGACTTGGTTGATTCATGTCATCGTGTCCCACTTGCGTGGATCGATGCTCATGATATCAATCACTTGATTGTCTGGCCTAAACTCGATTATTTACAGACTGACGTCATATAGCTGGAATACTGCTGAGTGCGGCGTTGAATAACAAACAAACAAACTGTAACTAACTATAAACTCATACAATCCTCCAAAGCATCGCCAAGAGGAATATTAAGCTATTACTCAAGTGTGAATCAGTATGAGCGCACTGTACACCTTACAAAGCACACTATGTTTGCTTTCGGGTCTTTTCATAATGTACGAATGTTTTATTAAGATTCCCTTAAGCTGAAGGGTGAAGATTGTCATTCGCAATATAATTATCACCTCACCTAGCCAGATATTCAGTCGCCCGAGATATACTTGACAATATCCTTGTGATTTCATCAGCGCAGGAGTGTGTGACTGCATTGCCCAAGTGACTCAAAAACAAGCGTGTTTACTCGGTGCTGATGCAAACTGCACCCACGACGCCCTCTGAAACTTCACACACAATCAACAAAGACTGCTCGTCTTTTTAATCAAGACCAGTTTTGTTACAATATAGATCGTGATTATCGATCAGATCGTCTTCACTGAGCGCCGCCACTTTGTTTGAAGCAAATGCAAGTGATATCAGAGGTGCAATCTGATTGGTCAATAGGGGGACATAGAAGGGACATAACTCCCTACATACGATCGAACCCATAAATTCCAGCCTATTTCGGCAAGGGTGGAAACTGGACTTTAACAGTCAGTTAACTCCCTTGCCTCGGGAAGATGATTTATATTTTATAATATATCAAGTGTGTACATAGCAAATAATCGTGTATATTCTACTCATCTTAGTCTTCTAAACCTACGTATAGAGTGGCCCGTCTGTATTACATATCATGTTTACCTTTTTAATGTAATTGGGATGAAACTTAAATAAACAATGTCTGTCTGTAAACGTCTGCATCACTCCGTTTTCCTTCCACACTAAGCTGACACGCCGTCCTTTAACAGAAACACTGTTCAAAGCGGCGTTGATCCCAACTTAAACCGTAAGAACAATTACTGTTTGATTTAATAGGAAATGGAATTCAAATTCAAATTATATATCGTTTTACCTTCCCATTTGTTTTGAAAAACAGAATTTCATGTGAAACAGGGATATATTTATGTGGCTTGATAGGACATGTATAGCAGCCCATGGTGCCCAGTTATCTGTAAAGCTCCCGATCAATATAAGCTATTGATGTGTCCCATTGTAATAACCAAGCTATAGTTTTACATCAGGAATTCACAGGCAGTAGAGAGCGGCGGAGAAAGTAGTTGGACGTAGGTACAGTCGGTGTTTTTGCTGAGAGGGTAGTGTAGAAAAACCGATTGGGTGTTCAAACATTACCATTTGTGTTTGTAGTGTTTATGTGAAGTAGAAATTCAATAGGAGACCCATGGGTTGTTCAACATACAGTTCCAATGGAGAGGGCGTTTTAAGGGAAGGATACATAACACTTTGACAACGCTGTGTTCCTTAGATGTTACATTTCGACAGAAGACGGATCTAAAGTTTGGTTTCGAATCAGTGAATACGCCCTGGAATCTGACAGTTTGGCAACACTTTTTACGCTGACCATTGGTATGCTATCATGATGACGGCACTTACTGCCACTATTTGGAGGATACAGGGCAGTTCAGTGATTTATTCCTGTCGTGTCTTCTCTCTACTTCTGATACTCACTGATATGAACTGGATCTCAGCTTTTGTTCTACAACAATCCCCGAAATGTCGCGTCGACTACCGCAACCTTCCCACTTCCGTTAGCCTTGACCCTGGTTGTAGCCGTGTGACGTGCGGTTCCCAATGTGGCGCCCCCTGTCCCTCATCACGTGACTGTCAACAAAATGGAGTCCTGGTGTGTAAGGTGTCTGCCCTGCCTGTCGCCTTCACGTGTGGATACGATGACAAGAACTGCTATATATTTCAGAAGGTATTATACGGTGTAAATTAAAATACAAATTACAATAAGAAACAATTGTGTGATATTGGCGTCAAATTATTTAATCGTGATTTTTATTTCAGAATACTTTATTCTGGTTGACCAAATATGGCTTTCACATCACTCTCTCACTCATGCAACTGTATCACTTCCCAAATCCCGGTCGTCGAGCGGTTCCAAACAGCACACTTACCAAATATACATTGCGAAATGCAAATTTCTGTTCCTTGAATCGTTGAAGTATAATTGCCTACTCCTCTTGATTATAATAAATATGATAAACAAATAACTGGATTCAGTACGTTTGTATCAATGACAGTGATAACGTGTTCATCGTCACAGACTGTATGTGGTTTCTGCCTACAGAAACTATCCGCCCAAAAACTATACATTTAGAAATGGCTTTTATTCCGTCAAACTGAATTATATACTATTTCCTTTTGAATGATAAAATTACCAATATCCTTTGATACGTGTGTGCCATCACTAGGTGACCAGCTGCACTAATGGGGCCACGGCGGCATCTGACGGAACCTGTATCTGCCCTGCCGGTTTCATGGGGCACCTGTGTCAACACTACGTTCACAGTGAGTATCGCATTTATTCCGTTTCATAAGCATAACAACGCATAGCAACGTGTCATCTATTGTTCCTTAACTTGTTTACGGTTTGTCATCTTTAACCATTTTTCCTGCCCTCAACAGCCTAGACAGTTCATCAAACATCGTCTCTTTCGTCAACTATATACCAACGACATGAGAGTGAATTAAGTATATGCTTGTAGTAATGTTCTTAAATTGTCATTTGAGTGAGTGAGTTAATATTTAACGTCACATCGGCAGTATTTCAGCCATACCGTGACGAGAATTGTCATTTGAGGTGAAAAGGAAACTTGCAATATTCAAAGAATAACATATAGAGAAATAGTAGATACCTCTTCTTCATGAGCTGAGAACGGACATATGAGGAGTGTAATCCTGACATGATTCAATTTTTCAGCCTGTCACGATATCTACCAGCGTGACTCTAGCAGTGCTGACGGCGAGTATACTCTCATCACTTCCCAGGACGCTGTCATTAACGTATGGTGCCGTTTCAACAGCAACGTAATCACGACCTACTTCTCAAAGGCTGCTGTAGCTAGCCTCACCACCGAGGAAATACGTGTCCACTACAACTCCGACGCTGCAGTCGACTTCATCGCAAAACTGAGTGACGGGACGCAGTCAGAATCGACCTTGACCCAGCTGACCTCATTCTCCTCAGTCCCCCTGAGAATCCTAGTCAGTGAATATACTGACTATACAGCGCCCAGTAATACAAACTTTGGGGCCTATCTATACCTAGGGTTCCTTCCGAAAGCAAGTATACACGAAGATTTCAGGCATGGCTACAACGCCAATGGTGCCGATAAAGACTTCCGAAACTGTGACGGAAACCCTAACAATTATTTCACTCTCTTCACCAACATTAACAACCTGTCGCCACAGAAAGATAGTGGTGGTATGCCTTCAACCGGCATCATGGCACACTGGCAGACTAGTGCCCGGATCTTACTGCCTGGAGACTATCTTCCGGACAACTACATCTACGACACGGAAATGCACTTTGGCGGCTGTGGCGGTTTTGGCGTCACTAACAGCTGGAACAATGTGGATGGCTTCGGACTTGGCGTCAAATTTGGTAGGGTGTTTTCAGTTACATCTCAATTACTGATTGACCGTTTTCTATATATACTGAACCGCAAAAGAAATGTCACCATGGATAGATGTATGAGAAACCTTATTTGTCCAAACACTGTAAACATACTTTTAGACATGTTAAAAAGATGAAACTTGGCAAAACGGATCATCAAGGTTGAAATTAAAGTGTCAAATGTTCTTAAAGTGAAACACAACACCAGTATCTCCTGTGTCCGCCATGTGCATTGATGACTGGCGTGCAACGTCGATACATGGAATGGATGAGGCGGTTGATGAAGGCCATAGGCACTTGAGCCCACACTCTAAAGGAACGCCTGACGCAGTTCAGCTGCAGTTGTGGGCCTTGGTCGGACGTCATTCAGCCGTCTTTGAATCTCGTCCCCAAGGTGCTCAATGGGATTTAAATCAGGACTGAGGGCAGGCCACTGCATGGTTCTGATGCCATTCTGCTGGAGGAATCTCTTGTTGCTCTCGCAGTCTGGGCACGGGCGTTATCATGCTGAAACTCGTGGTTGCGGCGACGTGTCAAATTAGGTATGGCGTGTGGAAATCTACCGAGCCAATTCAATACCTCAACATGATACTCGGACCACCCCACAAGTCTCTCTCAACAACACAAGCGAATCCGAATAACGTTCCCCACGGCGTCGCCAGACTCTCTTTCTCTGCCATCTGCTGTTGAGATACAGTAAAGGCTCTTGTCTGAGAAGAGGACTCTTCTCCATTGCTGGTGGCGCCAATGCTGGTTCTGTGTTGCCCACTGAAGACGGTCCCGGCGATGACGTGGTGTCAGAATGGGTCCTCGGTGTGACCTGTGACAGTGGAGGTGTCTGCTCGTCAATCGTCGACGCACGGTGTCCGCACTAATGTGTCGCTGGTGTGTCCCCATGGGTTGTCGAGCAGTTTCCGCAGCAGTCACAAAGCGATCTTGAAGATACTGTCGCACAATCTGACGATCCTGACGTCGGGTGGTGAACCTTGGTCTTCCACTACGTGGCCGGTCATCTGTAGTGTTGGTGGTCTGGTACCGTTCCTGGAGCCTGTATATGGTCCTTACGTGGAATTGAAATGCATTGGATACCTGCCGGGTGGTTTGTCCAGCTTACAATCGTCCAAGGGCTTGGTGTCGCTGATTTCTTGTCAATCTTGGCATGTGGTAGCAATTCAATTACGAATGAATGTCATCCGATCTGGGTGGATTTTTATCGGGAAAGAAATGGGGGAACGCATGTGCATTTCAGATTGCACGGAACTCACGTGCATCGGGTTACCATGGCCGTTGCCGCGATGCGTTTGGGCGATCGGTTTTATTGTCATCTGCTTTGATTTTTTAGCCTCAAATTTCATTTTTCCGGACAAGTTAATGTTAAATTTTAGAAACTTTGACAAAATTTACCAAAATATTTAAATGACAACTTTTCATGCAATGTTATTTTTGGTGACGTGTTGTTTTTTTGCGGTTCAGTGTATTAACACATTACAAATGCGAAATAGTATTCTTCAGATACAAAAATATATAAATATATAAGTTTATATGGATTTCCTGTTTTTGTATAGATGAGTGTGTGAGTTATTTTTATACCGCTACAATTCCGATATATCCCCGCGGATCAACTTTATGGGGAAGGAGGAAATCCAAGTGACGTTTCAGGTTTAACAAATTTAATCAGCCCATTTATATGTGATCAGATGAACGTTTTAAATATTCTAAATATTCTAAATATGTAAGGGATACTGCAATCAAAAGGAATTTCATAACAAGAATTTCATTTCCACAGTTTTTCTCTGAAATAGTGTTTATAAATTTTCAGAAATCCTTCCGAAATAATTATTGCATGTTTGAGAAACTACGGCACGGGTATTTTTCAGAATTTGTGAGACCTTATCTATTATCAAAGTGATGAGCCGTGCTTGTTTATAAGACTAACAAGTCAAACAAATAACAAAAACATAATGCTTTCTGAACGTAAACAAATGGGAGGTATCAGCCAAAACAAAGTTTCCCAAAAAGTCTTACGTGATCTTGTATCATCACACATCATGTCTGTAACTAGAGTAGACTGCCCTTGTACCATCACACATGTTTGTAACTAGAGTAGCCTGCCCTTGTATCTTCACACATCATGTTTGTAACTAGAGTAGCCTGCCCTTGTATCATCACACATCATGTCTCTTACTAGAGTAGCCTGCCCTTGTATCATCACACATCATGTTTGTAACTAGAGTAGCCTGCCCTTGTATCATCACACATCGTGTCTGTAACTAGAGTAGCCTGCTCTTGTATCATCACACATCATGTTTGTAACTAAAGTAACCTGCCCTTGTATCATCACACATCATGTCTGTAACTAGAGAAACCTGTCCTTGTATCATCACACATCATGTTTGTAACTAGAGTAGCCTGTCCTTGTATCATCACACATCATGTTTGTAACTAGAGTAACATGTCCTTGTATCATCACACATCATGTTTGTAACTAGAGTAACATGTCCTTGTATCATCACACATCATGTTTGTAACTAGAGTAGCCTGCCCTTGTGTCATCACACATCATGTTTGTATCCAGAGTAACCTGTCCTTGTATCATCACACATCATATTTGTAACTAGAGTAGCCTGTCCTTGTATCATCACACATTATGTCTGTAACTAGAGTTGCCTCTTAATTAATTAATGTTTCTTCTTTCGTTTTGGGGTAAATTGGTTTTAGATAATGATTGCTAGTGTTAGTTATTAGAGTGTTACTTAGAGAAATTGGCTCTAAGGAAATGAATGTTTACAAAAGCAAATGGGAGGAACGGCGTAAGGTCAATTATTATGATTAAGCGAGCTCCACGCGTGTTTAGGGTTATTACTTAAGGAGTAATTACAATACAATTATAATTTATTTGCTTTGTCTCTGTAATAACTTACGACTACTTACAAGATACGTAAAATGACTTACAGTTACTAAATCGGGCTTATAAAGCGATTCATAAACACATGACTCAGACACAGTAAACTTTGTTTCGAGCCGACCAGTCCTTGTTTTAACCCCTTAATGCCGAGCGCCAGACAGGGTAACAACAAGTACCACATTTTAACGTCTTTTGGTATGACGCGGTCGGGGATCGAACCCCGGACCTTCCGCTCTCCGGGCGAACGCTCTACCACTAAACCACGGAGGTGGTCCTGCGGATATGGTTATACTTAGAAAAGCTTCAAAAGGTTTTCGGTAGACATTTCCACGTAAGGCGCGTCGGTAACATGTCTCATGCAGTTCCATGTTTTTTGTTGTACCGTGTGTTCCCGTGTATTTTTTCTGTTGAGCAATTGACTTGCCCTTGCACGTGTTTGTAATGGGATCCGCTGGTAGAGCAGGATACGCTCAAGCTTACCTTTTCGTGAACACCTATTTGATAGTAATTCTTTCTTGTAATAGAATAGGAATTTTACAATGGACTTGGAATGGAGTTTTGTAAAGGAGGTTTTGGGTTTTTAACAAGTAAATTAGACGTGAAACTGAGAAATGAAGGTGGCCAAGCGGTAATACATTGTTATTCACTGGGTAAAACCGAATGTCCTAGACATGACAGGATCCTTTGGTAGTGTATCGGATCCCAGAGTGAGTGGGTTGGGTTTAACGCCACTTTTAACATTATTCCAGTTATATCGCGGCGTGTCAGCTTAATGTGGGAGGAAAGCCCGAAGTGATGCAGGTCTCGGACGTTTACCACTTCGGTGAAACCCACGAGCACGGGTATGGTGCTGACAAACCTAGAAACATTATCGGGGCGAACCGGGATTCGAACCCACAATCATAGGTTTCTAGTGTGCCCAAGGGACGCAACTCTGCACAGCGAATCGCGGCGCCTTAGACGACTGGGCCACCCGTGCCCCTTCCGGATCCCAGAAGTAATTAGAACATGATGACTGCTTAACAGTCAGCACCAAGGTGCCATCGGTCCGGCAGGATGTTCCGTTTTTCACGAACACCTGGTAGTTACACTGTTTGAGTGAGTGAGTGAGTTGGGTTTAACGCCGCTTTTAACAGTATTACAGTTATATCGCGGCGTGTCAGCTAAATGTGGGAGGAAAGCCCGAAGTGATGCAGGTCTCAGACGTTACGGAAATGTTTTAGTCGCTTGTGTGTAAGTCATGCCAAGCAATTTATTTGGCGATGGAGATACAGTTGGACCCGGTTATGTCGAGATCCAAAATTATTCTCTGGTCCGAACACCTCACTGTAGGTATACATGTAAATTTAACCTTTTAGCTCGTATTCGAGATGAAAATATATAGCGGAATCTAGAACCATGGACTCGGGCCCATCTTGAAATGGTGTGCCTGTATCTCGAAGACGGCATTTGCCACTTTAACAGTTTTGTGAAGCGCAAATAGGCGTTTCACAAAGCTGTGAGCAATTCTCCTAGATACAAGCTGTGTAATCCGAAATGAAGTAAAAAACCGAGATCCTTGCAACATTGTCTTGCCTTGTTGCAACCACAGAAGCCATGGTATTAAGTGCAAACAATCATCTGCATAACGTAATAAATAAAAGTGCTACGTTCAACTCACTCAGGTGATCCTATGCGTAATTCACCTGTTCATTTGTCACACTTTTTATTGATCATTTCCTGCGAACAACAGTCCAATTAGTTATGTATACTTAATTAATGGTGTATGCAATCGTATTGCTATGGATCTATAATAAGGTGTTACTTGATCTGTCTGTCTGGCCGGTGTCACGAAATATATTCGCCCCCAGAATAAAATCTCCCCCCGTTGAATTTATACCGGTACAGTTCCGCCCCTCTGTTTGTTTGGTATGATTATGTCTTATAATTGTTTTAGGATGGAAGGTACAGTTACCAAATAGAATATGCTGAAATATCAATTCATTATGACCATATTTCATAATCTATTTTTTAAAGTAACCCTCCTTACATTAAAGATAACTATTTAAAGAATATAGTACTTAAAGACATTGCAACAAACCGAATAATCAGGGGGGAGACTTTATACTGAGGGGGGCGCGAAACATATCCGCCCGGGGGAGATTTTATTTCAGAACAGATTCTCCGGGGGAGAATCTGTACCGGTATAAAATCTCCGGGGGGAGAATTTGTACGGGGGAGAGTTTATACCGGGACACCGGCACTCGCTATCCCGAATGTCTGGATATCGAAGTAACACCACGGTCCCGCTAGGTTCGAGATACCGGGGTCCAACTGTAGTTTAATAGTAACAACCACAGACCTGGTGAGATGTCGAAATATATACAACTGCTTTTGTGGAATATCAATTCATTTATTTATTCATGTACATGTGTAGGCCAGCGGCCCATGGTACAATATTTGGTCCATCATTAACATTTATAGGCTTAGTGTTTGGAGTCTAACATTCATAGCATGGTATATAAAACTTGCAACATTTCTAATAACAGTTTCATTGTTTACCGCCATAAGCATATTGAATTTAGCAAGAGTAGGATGTACAAAATACTTCTGTGGTAAATACTGAAGACGAAGTTCATCATAAGCGTTACAAATTAATAAAAAATTATATTCATTCTCGGCATATCTTTGGTTGCAACTATTGCACAACAACTGCTCTCGTGGAGTATTAACGTATCTACCAGTCTCAATGTGGAGATATCTTTGCGATCAATGAACCCCATAAACTTGGTGTAACAATTGGTTATATGTCTAAAAGAGGATAAGCCACACACACGAATTCGATGCGTATACGTAGTCACTTCCAAAACCACGCTACGAAAAGGTTTAGATTCACGTTTCCAGATGCGTGAGTGTTCATGTTTTTGTTTGTTTGTTTGTTTGTTTGTTTGTTTGTTTGTTTGTTTGTTTGTTTGATTGATTGTTAGTTTTCATAATCCACGCAATTGGGATACGTTTTGTCTCTTAAGACAAGCATGGGTTGATGAATACCTCTTTTAACCCGGGTCTTCACGGGTCGAGTGTTTATGTACAAAAACATGGCTGCAAACAATTTGGCACTTTATATGTATAGGAAACTGAGCTATTCACTCAGGCATTGTATTCCTTAGGGATTTCAAAATTGACCTTAATCATTGCAAATATGCCAAGAATTTCCACCGTTTGTGAATGCATATCCCTGCCACCATGTGATGTCCACAACAAAATAGTTCATTCTTTCGCAATTCCTTCTATTCATATCAGTCAGCCTCGTAGTATGCTCCCCTGAAGCTCATGGAATTGACTGTTTCGGTTTACTCGTTTTAGCATTTCATACTTTTCATTCCTTGTTACAGATGTCTAATAGCACGGAACGGCGGTTCCCGGAAGCCTACTGTTGATACCAGTACGACCTAATGGATACCAGTACTGAACACACAGAATGGATTAACGACTATAGCTGTTATATTGAAGCTGACATTATCGGTGATATCAAATATCTGAATAGACACGCAGAAAATACTTCGGGCCCCTACGTCTATGAGGAAATCAATCAGCGATCAATCCTAACAACCAGCCCTTTGTAACGATCATTCATCACACCCATTTGTGTACATATTTACTGTATAGTAACGAGCAGGCTGTGTTTTAATTATTTTTAAGCACGTAGGATGACATGGTTATGTAACTGTTAACCTAATGCCCCCAGCGGGCCGCTTGGGTTGTATGGTCCCCAGGGAGCTGAGAATGAAAATTGTTACACACTGAACCAAGGAACGGGGAAATAATGTAGCGATTTGAGCAAGCTTTTATTTTCATGTAGGGATTAAAATATAACAATGCAGCACAGCGGTTTGGGGGTGATCCTCGTACAGTCAGGCTGGTTAGGCTCATCATCAGCTCAGGGTCCTTGCCCCCCTCTACACGAAGCCCAGAGAGCGAATGGGACTTCTCCCAGGAAGCGCTGCCTATGCGAACCAAACCAGAACTTTTCGGAGAATGTGAAGACTCCCCAACACTGCAGTCTTCTGCATTACCAAGATTGTCAGAAGGGATGTATTCCTGGTAGCAAACCCGGGTACTTTCCCAATGTCAGTCAACAGATTGGGAGGTACCAAACCTAAGGCATCGAGGACAATGGGGAGTTGGACAATTGCTACTTAGGGTGCAAGGGTGACATTTCGAAAGCGAAGTCTGCATATCTGCCATGTTTTTCCCGAATCTTGTCAATCACATCAGTGGCAATAGAGAAATAATAATATTATTCAATAATATAAACGATTTCATTGGATTTGTCAAAAATGACAAGATCAGGTTTGTTGGCCTGGATAAGTCTGAGGTTGTATACGGGCCCATTAAATTTTGTATTTATCACTTTCCATGACGCCCTCTACATATTCTGGGTCGTACCATGGATGGACCTCTGTGTCAAAACCACAAACATTGCGAAGTCGGTAATAAATTGAGTGAGCCACTCCATCATGTCACTTTAGATACTGTGTTTGTGCCAAAGCTGGGCATCCACTGACAATGTGTTGGACAGTCTCATTAAATTCATTACATAATCATACATTTCATACATTTTGATCCAAAATCATACATTGACGGTTTCGAGTGGGAAGTGACTGGTCCTGAGCAGGAAACAGAAAGCCTTCTGTTTCACTTTTCAGGCCAGTCGACTTCACCCAAGCGAAGGACTCTGCAGGGTTGATGATCTTCTCAACACGCTGCACATAAACTCGATGCAGTGGTCGTTCAGATAGCCTCTCCTTGAAAAACTGAGTCGGGGCCGACTTGATATGGCACTTCGTTTGTTTGACACTCATTTCTGTACCTTCAAACAGTACAGTACCATCAACTAAATCAACATTGACATTGAGATTGTGTCCCACATTTTTGGGTCGTTTACGAAAACTGTGGAATGCCTTGTTTTCATCATACATTATTATTATTGTTGTTCTTGTATATACACATCCAGAGAAGAACGCGATCTAACCTGTAGTGAGTGAGTATGGTTTTACGCCGCTTTTAGCATTATTACAGCAATATCACGGCGGGGACACAAGAAATGGTCTTCACACATTGTACCAATGCAGTCAATAGAACCGGGTCTTCAGTGTGACGAGCGAACGCGTAAACCACTGGGCTACCCTACTGCTTTATCACAGCTGGAGTGAAACGTCTGACAGGCCTTCTGTCGCCGGAACCAAGTATATTATACTTGACGTAAGGGCTGACAATTGAGGATTGTTCGTGCTTTGTGATTTGGCTGATGGTATGTTGGAATATCTGGAGTGCGGCGTCAAACGACATTCAGTCACTCTCAGAAGTTGCTCATCCTCTACATTGTGCCGTCATTGATTTCTACTTTGTCGGTGGATGTTCCAAGAGAATCAGCAACTGGACGAGACACAGAATGGATTTATGCTAAATGCAGTAGTTAGCGGGTTATAACTACCCATCATTCCGATACCCATTTCTTATTTTTCTTTTCTTTTCTTTTTTTTTTTTTGGGGGGGGGGGGGGGAGGGGGGGCAAGTTTGGAAATAGATGTTGTGATAATGTACGCACAAAATCATTAGCTATTAAATTTGAAGAACCGGACACATTCAGACTCGTCTCGAACATAGAATTGATTTAGAATGAATGCAGGCGTCAGAGGTTACACCCACCGGACCCAACCATTGGACAAAAGAATTTAAGGTCCGAGAAAGTGTTGAAATAGATATTGCCTCCGGAAAAAATATCAATAACTATAAAAAAGGATTATAATAACGTCCCGAGGAAATCGTTTTTCAATTCCGCTGATCAATTGGAAACAGCTCTGTTAATTACATTTCTTCTTAAAAGCTTTAGATCACGTATTGTTATTTTTCTAGGGAATCAAGAACGATTGGTTAGGTAACGTTCTCCAAAGTTACTCTCAGTGTGAATATCGACCAGACTATACAGAGATTAAGTCACGCGATGAATTGTCGTATCTCAAGTAGTGCTTGTCGTATCATTTTAAGCCCAGTCACAGTTTGATTCACCACGTGTCTATACACTGCTATACTATACTATACTATACTATACTATACTATACTATACTATACTATACTATACTATACTATACTATACTATACTTATTTCACCTCTCCTTGTATTGAATTTATTGTATTGTACCCTGATTTTCTACTTATACTGTACCATGTATTGCTTTGATATATACAGTAAACGAATTCTGTACCATGCGATAGATAACCTGTTATACCACATATCTTATACTATGACATAACAGGTTACGCCACGCAATCTATGCCATGTGCAAAAAGGGATATGTCATGTGTTTAATACCTTGTGATGCCCTGTTATACCACGTATTTCAAACCAAATGATGACCTGATACATAGAAGTTATCACGCGGGTGTGTTTGGGAATGGTAAATATCCTGCATTAGGAATAAATATTGTATTTAGCGAGCCTTGGCTGGTTGTCAGTGTATTAGTCTGTTCTTTTGATAAATTGAATGATATCATTTAGACTCCCGATGGTTAATTCTGACTCGATCGCCGAATGACAAGAGCGACGACCTGAGAATCTGTTGTTTAGGTACTGTCCCAATTTCATGTTAGGGGTTTTGACAAAATAATCTGCTTACATCTATAGAGTCTATCCAAAAGCGTTTAGTCTTGTCTATCGCTGTCTATCGCTGTCTATCGCTGGTCCCATGTGTCATCGCATTCCTGATAACTTTAACTTCCTCAATTGTCCAATTGTCGGAGCATAGACTTGCACTTTTTTACTTTCGCAGCCACGTGAACTGAGCCGTCTTTGTTTGGCTTCACCATTAGGAATGACGTATTATATATCTGACATGTACCTTGACGTTTAAGATGTATGTGCTTATTTGTAAAACATGTTTAGCTCATCTGGTCCGCAGGACCAAGGTGAGCATTTGCCTTACCGTGGCGACTTCTTCTGAACCACTAATTGGAATTTAGCGAAATTTGATTGGAAGCTGACAGAGTCCAAATTACGTAATATTTGCAGTATCGTATACATGTACAATGCAAATGTATATTTTCTCATGATTGCGTAAATATCCAGGTGAGCGACAAATGCCGTATTGGCCTCTTGTTTAGTTTGCGGTTTTCACTAGTTGAAGCTGTTTTCAGCTTCACATATGTTATGTGATTTAAAATTGCCAATCCATTATTTTCATACTATGTCGGGAAATGATACTCCAGTATTATGCACATTTAAAGACCTCGGCCATGTATTTCTAGAGAAACATGTTCGGGATGTAAACAACCTGTAAACAACTTGCAAAAATTAAAATATTATATTAAACTGTAATCTGGAAAAGTAAGATGCAAACACAGTAATCAGGGTAATCATCTGTGTTTATGATGATCATACAGTACCGTGTACATTACAAATTATAATTGTATAGTGTACAAAACACTTGACTTGTTATGGAATTATGAAGCGTGTCCATGTGACCTTAACCTTTTTACAATCGTATGTATACAATCAATCACTAAAACATATATAAAGTAACCTTTAACGCTATCTTCGATTAATTAACATATAGATCATGGTTACCATGGAAATACCCCACAAAATCTTATTGTTCGACACCTGTCATCGTATCAACATTAGATTTTTTAACGGACTCTTTTCTCTAAAACGATTATGCTGATTTTATATTTTTGATATTTCGAAATAGGTGCGAAATATTCAATTTGAGTCCAGATTATCTACACAACTGATGCATATGCCCTTTATCCTTAAGATGTTTATCCTTATGTCCTTATGAGTGAAGGATGACACGAACACTTGTAAACATCATTGAAAAGCAATATTTAGTTAGAATGTCATGATATGACATGATTTAATGAGGTTTCGTATGATACCATTGAATTGCAAGGAAGAATAGCCTACTTGTATATATACCTGCCAACCACACTCTGTATATCACTTGCTTGATAACGGTGTTAGAACCTACACCGAAACGTCGCTCTTGATTGTAATAAAGAAGTTGTTCATTCATAAATTCTTATCCTTACTTAGTGCTCCAACTTCCAAATGCCTATCAAAGAAGATACTTCTTTTACATGGTTCAAAGGAAAAGCAGTGCCAGGATTAACGCAAACATTCAAAACGTTAGTACAATATTTGTATATAATGGAGATTTATCCATGTATGTGTGGTAATGGTGCGCTTTCCAAAATAGCACGATTACCATGGAAGCGCCCCAAAACGAAATATTGTATGACACTTTCAGTGTGGATACATTGGTTTCGTACAACCAGAGATTCCCAGCTATCAAGCTATACCACGTACGTCGTGATATGCCTCCGGTAGACCTATTCCGCATTTTGACACCAGAAAGCACTGCTCTAATAGTGTCGCGTCTCAATGCTACGTTTTATGCACGTATGTTCACATGTTCACTTTGTACACGTCTTGATTGATAGCGATGCAAAACTCTACATTAGAAACGTGGCTTCAAATATAATAAAGAATTGATTACAATACAATCTTATCATTACTTACATACCCAACTTCTAGATGCATGCTCCATAGAACCCTACAAGAAGCTGACAAATCTGTGTCCAACTCAGATCTACAGCTTAAATACTGGCACTCTACCCAGATCTGCAGTTGAGATATCGACGATCTACCCAAACCTACAGCTGAAATATTGACACTCTATCCAAACCTACAGCTGAAATATCGACCCTCTATCCAAACCTACAGCTGAAATATCGACGCTCTACCCAAACCTACAGCTGAAATATTGACACTCTATCCAAACCTACAGCTGAAATATTGACACTCTATCCAAACCTACAGCTGAAATATCGACCCTCTATCCAAACCTACAGCTGAAATATTGACACTCTATCCAAACCTACAGCTGAAATATCGACGCTCTACCCAAACCTACAGCTGAAATATTGACACTCTATCCAAACCTACAGCTGAAATATCGACCCTCTATCCAAACCTACAGCTGAAATATCGACGCTCTACCCAAACCTACAGCTGAAATATTGACACTCTATCCAAACCTACAGCTGAAATATTGACACTCTATCCAAACCTACAGCTGAAATATCGACGCTCTACCCAAACCTACAGCTGAAATATTGACACTCTATCCAAACCTACAGCTGAAATATCGACCCTCTATCCAAACCTACAGCTGAAATATTGACACTCTATCCAAACCTACAGCTGAAATATCGACCCTCTATCCAGATCTGCAGATGAGATATCGACGTTCTACTAAGACCTACAACTCAAATATCAGCGCTCTGCCCAAACCTACAGCTGAAATATCGTCGCTCTACCCAGGCATACAGACAGTTGAAATATCGACGCTCTACCCAGCCCCGCAGCTGAAATATCGACGCTCTACCCAGACCCGGAGCTGAAATATCGACGCTCTACCCAGGCCTACAGCCAGCTTAAATATCGACGCTCTACCCAGACCTACAGCTAGTTGAAATATCGACGCTCTACCCAGACCTACAGCCAGCTTAAATAGCGACGCTATACCCAGG